TGTATTAAAGAAATGAGGATAAAGTTTGTGATGCCACTACGAGACACTGTGGCCCATGCAGACGGTATGGTGACCCTTCGCTGTGAGGTGTGCAAGCCAAAAGCAGATGTCCAGTGGCTGAGGAATGGAGAGGAGGTGGTTCCAGGCAGAAGGTTCACTATTCGGGCGGATGGAGTTGAGAGAAGCCTGACCATCCACCGTTTAATCAAAGAGGATGCCGGAGAGTATGCCTGTGAGTCCAAAGACGACCGGAGCGTGGCAATGCTGAGAGTTGAGAGTAAGTTTTGCCTGTGATCAGAATTTCTGTCTTTTCTTAAGTGAGCAAGCATGGTCATTCACTTTTTGTATGTTTCTTCAGTGCCAAGAGTAGTGGAGTTCCTCACAGAGCTCCACAACACCACTGTGCTAGAAGGAGAAGATGCTACGTTCAAGTGTGTGGTGTCCCCTGAGGATATCCAGCTGGTCTGGCTCTTAGACAATGAGCCAATCACGCTGGGTGATCGTTTCCAGGCAAACCAGAACGGCCTGTGCCACACCTTGGTCATCAAGAAGTGCCAGATTTTGGACTGTTCTAAGATTACAGCAGAGGCGGAGGGACAAATGAGCAAAGCCAGCCTCAAAGTTCAGGGTAACTATTTCATGAGAGGAAAAGAGAGTATTAACACAAAGCAGCAGTTCAATGTAACCTGTATTTCTGTGTCTCCTCATGATGTTCAGAGGCTCAGGTCATGTTTATAAAGAAAATGGAAGCTGTCATGGCGGAAGAGTTTGGAGACGCCACCTTGGAGACAGAGATCAGCCTGGAGACGGGAGAGGTTCAGTGGATGAGGCAAGGAGTGGTCATCCAGCCTGGTCCCCGACACACGCTGGCCCAGAACGGCTGTAAACGCAGTCTCAGCATCCAAAACCTGAACCTGTCAGACAGGGGAACCTACCGCTGCGAGACTCTGCATGACCGGACGCAGGTCAAGCTCAATGTAGAACGTAAGTGATCCGGGGCACGATGAGGATGACAAACAGATCAATCTTCTAGTTGTTTCAGAACTAACAGACAGAATCCTTTCTAATGTTTGGAAAAGGAAATAGGTGAGATCTAGGCAACAAGATAACAGGACATATAGGAGGTGCTTTTCACAGTATGTCACAGTGCAAACAGATACTAAGAATAGCAGGGCTCGACCTGTATGTGTGAAAAGGTTTTTGAAACACAGCCATGCTGTTATTCAATGGTGTCCTGAATGACACTGTGATAATGGACCATGGAGTTGTGATGCTATAAACTCAACTGGTTCCACTACATAATGTTTTCACTCCTCTCGCTAAATAACTCGTCCTTATGTCTTCCAATCCAGCGCGTAACATCACTATCCGTAAGGGCCTGACTGACCAAGAAACCTTAGAACGAGAGACTGCTTCCTTTGAGGTGGAGCTATCCCACACAGATGTGGAGGGAATCTGGCAGAAGGATGGCATCAGGGTGAAAGCGAACAACCAGTGGAGGGTGAGCACCAATGGCCTGGTCCATAGCCTCACCCTGTCCAACCTCACCCTGGAGGACACGGGCACTATTGTCTTCACAGCTGAAGGGGCGCGCACCAGCGCTAGGCTCACCATCAAAGGTAAATTCTGGCCTTGAAACTAACTTTATCTAAATGTTTAAATAACCCAAAAATATGAGGGGTCAATTCATAAGTGTTATTTAATTGGCTCATTGATTGATTTTGTTAAATAAACAGAGCCTCCGGTGTCTTTCCTGAAATTGCTAACTGATGTCAGTGTGGAGGAGGAATTGCCAGTCACTCTGGAGTGTGAATTCTCCAGACAAAACATCGAAGTCAAATGGCTTAAGGTAAAACAAGTCAATAAATGCTCTCCTTTTTTGTAGACTATGGTTTGGCTTATTGCAGAGAAATGTAAGATGTGATGGAGACTCACGGAGCTATTGATGTATATGTGTTCATCTAAGACAAAATCATTTAAAGAAATGTGTTTCTAAAAACATTTTGTATAATAATTCCTGCTTGATATCAATGAAAACAAATAAACAGTTGTTTCAATTCTGTAGAAAATTTACAAAATTGAGTACACATTAAAACAGATGTACTGAGATCATTTTAGATGAAGGAGGAATACCTGGGTTTCTTTGCTTCTGTGAATCAGGACGGGAAGGAGCTGAAGGCGGGGACAAACTGTCGGATCTACTCCATGGGCCGGAAGCGGTTCTGTCAGATCATGCAGTGCACCCGGGCTGACTCTGGAACATACACATGTGACACGGGGGAAATCAACACTTCCTGTTCACTGGAGGTTAATGGTTAGTAACAGGAGCTGCAACAAAACACATGACATTAAATATTAAAAACAATTTCAAGCAACAAGGCAACGTAAAACAAATTGATATTTATCTTCTCAGGGTTATTCTAAGGGTTGTGTGTGTAGACACTGCAAATTTGTTTTTAGCTTATAAAATATCTCCCTCTACAGGATGAGAAAGATTATGTTGATTCTTATATCTCTTTACTCACCTCACAGAGCATAAGTTGGAGATAGTGCACAATCTGGAGGACCTTTACATTCAGGAGGACCAGAATGCTGTCTTCATGTGTGAGGTTTCTCTGGAGGAGGTCACTGGGGAGTGGTTCAAAGAAGGCCACAAGATCCGGCCCACAAGCACCATCAAGATCCGCACTGAAGGTACCAAAGGATGGTTTTATTATAGATAGGACTGACTAATTTCAATAAGATTGAGAAATAACTTAAATAGTACCTAATATGTTGTGCTTAATGTCTAAATGTGGTAGGTAGAGTTAGTGAGATAACAAGAATATGGTATGAAAAATAAAAAATTAGGGGAAATGTAAAAAGAAAGTCAAAATGAATAGAAAGGTGTTACTGGACTAGTGATTATAGGGTGTGGGATGACCTCTGGTGGGCAAATAGTAAATGGCAAGGTCTGTGAAAAAACAGAAAGCAAAAATAATCTATGTATTTTTTTCACCTTCAGGATCCAAACACTTCCTTCTGATGTGTAACGTCAAAGCTGAAGATGCTGGGGAAGTCCGCTTTGTAGCCAAGGATGTTGAATCTACAGCTTACCTCGAAGTAGAAGGTAAATTCATATGAGATTAATATTTTACTTTAAAGTTTAATTGTTCTAGGATGTTGTCATCTTAATAATTGTCCAATTAAAAAGTCTCAAAACATTTCCTTTCACTTCAGAACTCCCTGTTTCTATTGTAAAACCCCTGCGAGATCGAACGGCCCTGGAGAAACACCGCGTGATCCTTGAATGCACCGTTTCCACGCCACGCTCCAGCGCAACCTGGTACAAGGGCAGTGAGGAGCTGGTTTCCTCTGATCGAATTGAGATCCTGTCTGACGACTGCTCACACAAACTGGTGATCCAGGAGGTGTCTGTGGAGGATGAGGGCAGCTACACCATCGAGGTCGGGGAGCACACATCCAAAGCCAAACTGATGGTGGAAGGTAAGTTGTGAAATATGAGTTGTTATAGGTTAACAAATAATTATGAATTAGTATTTCTTACCATGATAACACTTGTCTCCTCTGTGCAGCCCAAGCCCTTGTAATGGTGAAAGAGCTGGAGGATGATGAGGTAACCGAGCCTGAGGCCGCATCTTTCCAGTGTGAGGTGTCTGTAGACATAAACAAGGCTCCTCTGTGGACTTTAAATGGAGAGACTCTTCAGACGGGCCCCTCTGTCCGCCTGGAAAGCCACGGGACGGTCCACAAACTCACCTTGAAAAACACCAGTGTGGACATGAGTGGGGTGGTCAAGTTTACCTTGGGCAAGGCCAAGAGCAGTGCCACACTCACTGTAAAGGAAAAGTAGAGAAAGAGAGAAAAAAGAAAGTGACTCTGAGAGAAAGAAAGTGAGAGAAAGAAAGTGACTGCAAAATGGGACACTTTCATGCCACCTTAAACTGTTAAACATCCATTTGTCATGTTTAACAGTTTGCATTTCCCTGTTCTGAATGTAATTCAAATTGATGGTATTCAGTCAAGTTAGACAGACCGTGCATGTTGAACTTGAGGCATGTCAAGTTATTCCTTTTTTACCATGTAGATGCTATTTAATTGCCTGATTTTTAATTGACTTTACATTATTGTACTCTGATAAAACTCCTCAAAATAAAACACCAAGTAACAGTGGTTAATAACATGGTTCAAATACATGTCATATGGTTTCTAACAGAATATTCCATCAAAATGCACTGGCACAGTTTTCTAATATTAATGCTAAATAAGCTGTGTTTTATTGCATTACAAGCATAGCTTCTGGTACATTTAATACAGCATTCACCATTAATAATTGGAAATAAATGGTTGAAAATACAAATACAACGTGTAAACATTACCTCACACGCACCGAAGGCAGACTTTTAGCGGCTAGCTAGTTAGCTTGAGCTACAGTTAGCTTATGCTTCTCAAATTACCTATTGGATGGCTAGCTAATTTGTGAAAATAATTTAGTAGAGAAAGAAGATATATTTCTCTGACGTGTTTATATGAATACAATGAGAGTAATCATTCAACTTACGTTCATCAATTCCCCATCAACATGACTCCAAATGCTAATGTTGCTCTGCGTCAGCTAGTTGTGTAACTGGGCAAACGTTTGCTAACAAGTTAGCCGACAGGTAGCTAATTAATGTTGATACACTGACAATGTTTACAGCCTGTTATGGTGCCCCTAAGTGACCGGAAAACATATTATTTTGATGGAATACTAATATTTAGTTATATATTAATGATATATGCTTACCTTTTATCAGCACCCCTATTTCTAATCATGCTGTGATTAACAGGGGAAACGTTGTCAATTAAACATAGGGAATTCAGAAATGAATGTTAAATATTTGTTTATGATGTGTTATGTTAAACAAAATATATATTATACACCCACATTTTCACAAATGCTACTTTTTCAATCAATTTGTTTTAGAAAAAAGAAATGATCAACAAAACAACACTTGGACCATCTTTCATTTAGCATTTATGGAGAGGAAATGGCATTATTACATACAGTCCATATATAATTTGGTATGATAAAACAGGTCAAGAAAAATGAAAGGTTACATCTATTCAATCATGAGTAACATGAATATTCCATATATTAATGAACATTTGTTTGCTGTATTACTGTGCAAAACAAAATATACATATCTACTGAATGTGTGAGAATTACAGTTGAGACATGTGATGATGGTTCACATAAAACACACACCAAAAATGACAACCCTGTTATGTGCCTACAACAGTATGATGCTATCATTTTAGTAATTTGCTGGTGTTTCTGATGCATTTATTACCTATTAATATACGAGGTAACCAACCAGGTCTTGCATAAAAACAGCAAGAAAAATGTTTCCCCTTTTGGAAAACGAATTGCAAAATATTGTATAAGAGGACCACTCCACGGTGAGAAAAAGAAATCAGTTATTATTTAGGAAAGACATTTGATTGACAATATTTGTTAAACATAGAAAAATAACGTTATAGCTCTTAAATGGCGGATTTAATTGTCATCCCTGCCCCTGCTATGGAGGCTCTTCGTCAAATCCACGGCTTCATTCATCGGTGTCAACACATGGTATTGTCAACGCATATGAGGGGGGAAAATAACACTGCTCCAACAAACTGCTGGACCTCAGCTTATAGAGCTTATCAAAATATACAGATTTAAATGTGTACGACCCAATCAATTCCACCGTCAAATCATTATTTTTTTATAACAGTTGCTGATTTTGAGTGAATAATAAGCAGAAGCAGTAATTTCACTGTCTACCTCTTCTGTCTTTTCTCTATTAAACTCAATTGTAGCTGCACTAGAACTACCTCACCTTTACGGCATGTCAATCCAACAGAATCCATCCAAATAACAGAAAAGAGGTGCAAAATAAATCACCAATAGCTGTTTATTAAAAGTGTCACAGTGTGGATTTTTCCTTTGAATCTCGACACATTTCTATTATAAAGTCCTGAAATAGTTTCCATCCAATGTGTACCGCTTAGGGAAAAATAAAATGCACTTTGTAGCTTAAGACAAGCCAAACTGTGACCTTTCCTGCATCATACTGCCGCTAAAACAGCCTGTGTATGCTGCGAGAAATTCAAGTTTCGTCAGTGGCTTTAAAACGAGGACCAGAAGCCATCAGAGAATGTCTCTGGGATCAATTGTTTCTCATTTTGGCTGTCCATCAGGCTTTAAACCACCTTTTGAAATCAGCTGCCCTACTATCACTGTCATGTGCAGATGGTTGGATTTCTTATTAGTGTCTTACTGCTTGTTTAATAGGGCTCAATTCCCACTTATAAAACTATTTTAAAAGGGATTAGACGTGTATATTGATTTTCCCTGACCTAAATTCCCACAGTTCAATAGCACTGAGAGGGGGGACTGTACTTGTAAAGTGCTGTCCAATCCTTTTGATATTAGTGAATTATAAACACCTGATCATATTTTTTTTTTGTCAGATTCATCCATAACACTGTCATGATTATTCAAAAATACTTGATCACATCACTCTAAAATTACAAAGAGGGATCACATGCCTGAAAAAAATTAGGGTGTGAAGTGAATTTTGTTCAAAAACAGACATCTACAGTACGTGTACACTATCTTCTCTTTCAATGACAAGACCGACAAGGCTTATTTGTACGTAAATCTACCTTTTTCACTTGCTTCCTGCTTACCAAAATCCTGCATGTTGTGCATCGAGGAGAGAAGTCCAGTACCCAGTCTGTGTCCAAAGGATTCATGGCTACAGATTTAGCAAGTTCAGTGACACTGCAGAAATATCCTAAAACATTCATCCATGCTTTCCTAGGAGAAAAGTTACAAGCTGATTTTCAGAGGAGTTTTCTGTTTGACCAGGAGGTGGCAGTGATGACGCCATCGAAGTCGCTGAAGACTCCCAGAAGTGTTGTTGTGATTCTGGGGAGGTGAAGGCTCGGTCAGCTGTGAAGCAGTCTGGTTGGCAGTGAGAGCTGGAGCCTCTCCGGTGTGGGTGATTTTTTTTATCTGTACGCCGTTTTGTTCAGAGCTGAGATGAGAACACCGTTAGCTCGCGGCCCCTTGTTGCTTGAGCACCGTGTAGACGTTATCCACTTTGCTCAGCCTCTCGAAGAAAGGCAGGAGGTCCAGGAGCTCCGTGTCGGACATGTCGTCGAACCACGAGGCCACAGGCACCTGGATGAAAACGCAAGTCATCAGCATCAACGTTATTTTTTTAGATCATGACTCAGGTGCGGTGTGTTATACTCACTGCGTTATCGGGGTGGAAGATGTAGGAGGCGGGGGAGTTGTCCACGATGATGACTTTGTTTAGGTCCCGGCCCAGGCGACTCAGGTCCTTGACGTAGTTTCCTCGGTAGAAGACGCACGACTCCCGGAACAGGCGGGAGCGGAAAGCGCCCCTCTTGTCCAGCAAGTCGGAGACGGGGTCTGCGTACTGAAAGAAAAAAAACACTAATAAATTAGATCAGTTCCTAAACCAACGCAAGCTTTCAGAAATAAAAAAACAACACAGACAAGTGTAGTCTTTGCTGCAAAAGGTTGATAACGTCAGTTGTAAGAATAAGTGTTAATTAACTGTAAGTTAATACAATAATAAAAAGGACGTGAGCAGGTTTGTGCCAACTTTCAAGTAATTATTGTGCTACCAAATTTAAGTCACACCTCTTAAGAGTTTCCTTTTGACATTTTGCCCACCCTATTGCTGGAAAACCTTTTCCCAATGACACTTTTTCTTACTTCCTACCTCTAATTTTCAATCATTTAAAATGTGAATAGTCAAATTCTCCATTGCTGTTCTGTATCCAACACTGGCTTCTGCAATTATTCAATTTCCCTCAGCGATTTAGTTTTAATTCAACTACAAATGTATGTAATGTACAAGTATTGGTTTTGTATTTATTGACACTGAGCAGCAGTTGGCAGCAGGGCAGTATTTCTCACCTTGGCTAAACTGGCAGTGAACAGGACGCACTCAAACAGCTCCCCCATTCTCTTCAGGAACTCGTCGACATGCGGCCGCTTCAGCACGTACACCTGGAAAACACAGGAATGTATCAAACCGGCTGCTGCTTTTTCAAAATAAAACATGTTTCTACAAACCTTCACTGTCTGAGGAACCATGGCGCTTTCTTTTGCTGTATAAAATAATCTTTGCTTCCTGTGCCACATGGGTGTAGTCGTGGATGTAAATCATTGGAAATGTAATATGAAGATACTCGTATAGATCACTGAGAGCATTTGGCTCCTAAAGTAAAGACTTGTTTCCTTGAAGTTCTTCCTTTTTTTTCTCCTTTCCGTGGCGTCGGAGGCTGAAGGGTAGCGTTCCTGAACCAAGTCATCCGGAATAGGCTTTGCTTGTCTGAACAAACCTATCCTGGATTACTTGAATCAGGCCCAGACCCACAGAGTGTCAAGCATCTCCATCTTCAAATCCCTTAAACACCGGCAGCAGCTTCTACACTCAGCAATTTAAAACAACCGCAAGGGCAGTGAGGCACTGATGACAACACAGTAAGGACATCGTGTGTGATGCAAACATTACCTGGTGTACTGTTCCATCTATTTCCACAGGAATGATGAAATCTGCATTGTTCACAGGCTGTTGGAAGGACAACAAACAGGACTCAATTGAATATTAAATGATTGAAATATTTGTATTCTATTTTCTCTTTTATTGGACATTTTAAAATGGAGCATTTTTCTTAGAAATCAAATCCCCCTTGGATGAATAAAGTATTTTTATTCTGCTTCTTTAACATGGCTGAACAGCAATATAAAGTCACAAGAAAGTCTGGTTACTTCCAGGAATGGCTGCAGGCTTGTTTTACAAAACACTAAATTGTTTCTCTTACCGTATGAAATATCACTGTGGTGTTATTGCAGGACAGAAGCAGGTAGAGACAAACAGTCTGCAGTGTGAGTGTGAGTGTGAGTGTGAGTGTGAGTGTGAGTGTGAGTGTGTGTGTGTGTGTGTGTGTGCGCGTTTAGGAGCGTCTGTGTTTATTTGGGTTGGAGAAACAACTCATTTTGGTTTGGCGTTTGTCATCGATACTAAAATGTCACCGACAGAGCGAACAACAACAACCAGATGTGGAGATGTGGGCCTGATGCAGACTTGTTTTGCTATTTAACCTAACTATCTTATGCTGTAATGTGATCACAGGGGACAACTATGTGTTTTACAGCCCCTTTGTTATTAAAAAGAAAAAAAGCCGAAATGATTTCTTTAAGTCCATGCATGATGTAAGAAATGAGGGCGAGACACTGCAGGCATTGTTTTCTTTAAGCGCTGCTCCATTTTCAGACAAATTTGCTCCCATAACAATCATTTTGTCAGACTTGCGGAAAGTTAATCTTACTTATTTTATCTATTTGCATCTGTAGATTTCTGAATTCCCCTGTTTGATTTGCATATAGAAACCTAAGATATATAGATAACAGTTTTGCTTTACCTTAAAAGAGCTGTGAACTAACGTCTCGTCCAGATCTATCACCACACAGATCTTTCCCGAGTCTTTTGACTTCACTGGATGCAGAAGTGGCTTTACCTGGTTCTAAAAAAAAAACACAAAATTATATTTATTCAAACCAGATCACAGCAATAGGTATATACAAGTATTTGAGGGATGACAGAAGGAGAACTAAATATGTAAATGCGGTTATAATCTGGCTTGTCTCTGAACACAGATTTGATCTTTCCACTGCTGTCGAAACAGGAGAAACATGCCACGAGAGAGACGAGGGGTAAACACACCTTGGAGACGGTTCCGTTCTCCTCCACTAGCAGGGGGGCGTTGTTGTTGACCGGCGGGGGGTCCGGCTGGTCTCGACACAGGCAGCAGAAGAGGCTGGAGAAGAGGCCGCGGCTCCGGGGCTTCTTGGAGGAAGGAGCCGGGGAAGAGCCTGCAGAGAGGAAGAGCAGGTCACCGAGCTGCATTCTGTCTGTCTATTTTAAATACCAAATGACGTTAACCATTAACAGCAAATTAAAACGACTATAAAAAAATGGCTTATTCTTCCCTTCTTCACGGTACAGTAAGCAAACAACACATCCTAACCCCCTGAAGTTATAGCTATGGGGTGCATATCGGAGGTGACTTGAATTGTTCTGCCACCAGTTGTTTTTTTTAAACTACATGATAAAAGCTCCAGCTGATTCCTGTCAGCAAATGTTGGCATCAGGTGATTGAGTTTAGTCTCGCAGGCTTATCCGTTGATCGCTGAGCTATGGCAGAGCAGGAAGTGTGCAGCTCAACAGCTATAATAACAATAAGACTCCTTACAGTACTTTGCTGTGCTTTAAAACTTCCTGGAAACAGTTTTTTTTACGTGTACTGTAAAGTCGTTTTATTGACAATAGTGCAATAAAAGTGGGTGGAGACCAAAAATGACATTCAAGGTAAAAAAAGAACGCAAAATGCTGCTTGTCCAATCTTCTTTTACATTTGTGTTTTTTTGTGTTATTGATCAACCCTAACTCTTTATTTAGTATATTAGTGTACTTTTTATTTTGACTTTATGCGCACTGTCCCTTTGCTGTTACAATGTAAACGTATGATCATGGATTTTAGACTTTATTTTCTTCAGTTGAACAATTTACCAAGTGGTTCTTCAACCATTCCCTTTTAAATGTAGGTCAGTCATTGAGATTATGTCAGCGTCCACAAAAGTGTGTCAAGCCAAACGTCCAATTGCTTTATTGCCCTGTCCCATAAATCTCCTATTAACACTTTTCTGTCTCTTTATCCCCCACACTCCCTCTCTCCGTACGTGTCTGTGTTACCAACACACAAACCTCCGTTGTGCGTCTCTCTCTCCGCTCTTTTATTCAAACCCTGCCATTCCCTCCTGCTCCATTTGTGGATTCAAATCCTGTCTGACCCTCCGCTGGCCTCTGCCGCGCTCAGGCCAAAACAGGAAGAGGAAACAGACGGGTATCAGAGGAGGAAGCTGCTGCTGCCTTCATGTTTTAGTGTAGCTACAACGGGCTTATGACACACAAATCCATGTAGCTTCTTCCCAGTCACTGTCATGGCAAATCCGGGTTCAGCTAGGAAGAAGAAATTGGTCATTTGACACATCTTAGCTGTGAAATAAATAAAGGATCTTATTCAGTGCCTTATGACATTAATCACTCCCTTATGTCCTAAATTCATTTTGCTCTCCTTGTTGCCTTTTTCACTCCCAAGTGACCTCACTCCCTCCCTTGAGTCCATATCCTTTCCAGCGTTCACTCCCTCGCCCTCATTCACTTCCTCCAGTCTCCCTTAGTTTCAATACTTTTTTCACACGCCTTTCACCATATAAAATGACCTACCCTAACCCTGAAACACAGTGTAAGCTTTTTTAATTCATAAAAGGGAAGGAAGAAAAGGAATTTATGGAGTACAGCTGAAATACTGCCGACGTTAGCTAACAAAAGATCCCCTTTCTTCCTAAATCTGAGTCATCAAAACATGTGTATTGGACGTACAGTCCTATACAATCTGTACAAATGTGGAGACAAAACAATGGTCATTGTGTTGTTCTTAAAACATATTTCAAATGCAGATTAAATGCACTGTAGAGCGCCATAACTATTACCACTATCACTATTATCTTGATTAATCATTATTGTCTTTAAGTTGATTTTGTAATTTGCTGTCATGCAGCAGTAAATCTTCACGTTTTGGATAATATTGAGGCCGTAACGGAACCGCGGAAACAGACCGCGGAAACGGACCCCGCAAACGATAACGGGTCCCAAGGTGGATAGATCTGCAAACGGAATGCTCTGGGGGGCCAAACGGCTCAGTGTGTACGCCCTATACGATCATTTCCTGATAACGATGAAGCCATAGCCCCACCTCTCCCCACCTCTGCTGCACACTGCTGTAGCATGGTCAGTACTAGCTACTGTCAGTAACTACTGCTACTGCTACTGCTACTGACCATGCTACAGATGCTAGTGCAAAATCTACAGCTCCTCTACCACAACCATCAGCAACAAGTGGACATGGAGAATTACATGAACTACATGTTGCTAAATCCACCGCGGGGCATAAACAGAAGGGCAACCATGGCAACCATGCTCGGGGGTCTTCTTCGCTGCTTTTGGTGTATTTTGTGGCGCCACTTACAGGCCCGGCATATGTACTACAGCGTCTCCAGCGCTTTCGAGCGGACTCGTGTGAACGGAATACTTTTTTGATATCGTATTCGGTTCGTTTGCTTTTCGTATGCGTTTGCGTGTAAATGGGGTCTAAGTCTCTGTTAAATCTGCTCAAGACTTTATTTCATTTTCACTTTAAGACTTCAATAATGCAGAGAAAAGCATGTACAGGCTTGGAGTAAACTAGCAATGTGTCAAAATATAAAATACCACAAGATGCAACTCTACCTAGAACCAAAACCTCATTCCTGAAACAGAAATTCCTACCTCAACATGTTCTCTCCTGTCCCGTAACTTATAAACATTGAATAATTCATATGCTGATTTATCACAGCGTGACATCAGTGTGCAATACTTTTATCAACCCAGGGTTCATTTTAAAAGCCTTAATCATTTTGTGTAGTCGACGCTCCCACTCCTAATAATGTCTGCCTCTTTGACAGCTGAGAAACATGTTTAAATGTGCTTTAATCTTGAAGAGAAGTTTCATTATTTGAACTGAATGGCCTTTTAAACAGCTGCTACACTTTCAGGGGATAATAAAACTCTCCAATAAAACAAACTAATGAAACGTTTAGATTAGTTAGTGATGTCATGGTTATAAAACGTTCAAGTTCAAATGAAAGAAAACAGAAACAGCATGCAAAAGCTCTTTAGGTTGCAAAATATTTGTTGTTGGGATATATATATTTTTGTAATCCTCTGGAGCAGAGAGAGGACCTGTGGATTATTGTTATTGATTAATGCATAGGTGTTTCTTAGGGTCAAAAACACTAAACTCATAACTTAAAATGAAAGTGTTTAGTTTATTTAATAAAAGAGCATATGTTCAATGTGAAAAGTGACAGTAGATAGATTAGTTGCAATTTGGTGCTATAAATATGTATTATAAAAAAGAAAGAAAGAAAAAGACAAGACAATGGTAGGGGAAACACTGTATTGGTATTTATTATTTTGATATTATTTATTTAAATGTACATATACATTTATCATTTATTTTTGTATTGGTTTTTCAGTTGAATTATACGTTCAGGGTAATCAACAGTTAAAAAGATACTGTTCATTGATTGATTGTCGAAAATAAATAAAATATTTTTGATTTGAAAAAGATACTGTTCAAATTATTATTTGCTTTACAGTTCAATAAATTGATGTTTTCAAAGTCAATGAATAATCGTATTTAATAATCGTGATATCAATTATTGACCAAAATAATCGTGATTATGATTTTTGCCATAATCGAGCAGCCCTACTTTGACCCTATTTTCTTGCAATGCAGTAAGAGACTACTCCTGTCAGCTTATGTCATTTAAGAATAAAATAGTTTTGTACTAAATAAAGGGTTTTAGAAATGTAAAAGTTTAGAGAATTTCTAAGCATATAACAGATGTTATCAGTCGTAGTGACATGACTCAGTTTATTAAGCAACACCTTGTTCGGTTGTGCCGTTGAGAAACACTTACATACCACATCAAAGATGGCCGTACATGAGCAGCCATTAGACATCTATAGGATGTAAGCAAATGTATAAGTTAACCCTCAAAAACTATAGAACTTTAGTCGACCAAAATTATCCTCTTATTGAGTCTCAGAGAAACTGATGGTTCTCATCATGTCGATATCTCTTAATGCAGGAAACAGAGACAGCATGTTTTCAAAGAGTGGAGAAAAGGATATAAAAGATTAAAACACACATTCACAAGAAGGCCACTGCATGACTTCAGCCACTTATCATGTAGGCCTATCCACCATATCTTAAGTAACAGAGACTATTGAAATACTACTGTGGTTTGCAGGAAACGATACGAGACAGTGGTCAGTGGATTATTCAATAACCTGTGTTCACACTCTGTGGCATCTCATTGGATTGTGTACAGCAGCAGTGCTAACATTGCATGCTAGTGAACACAGATCTGATAAAGTTAGTGTAACATTGAGGAAATCTCAATGTTACAGCTTCGTTATTGAATTAAGAGGTAAACAGAGCAGCATTGTAATACAAATAAACTGATTTCATAGCCATGGCAGCAAGATAGAAGAGATAACACATGCATTCTTAGGATAAAATAATAAGATTTTCACACAGACACACTTTTGAGGATTTAATATATCCATTTATACGAAGTGATAACAGATTTGATTCACATTAATTGATCAGTAATCATAATCCATTCATATCACATGATTCTGAAGTGTACTTTAAGTTAGACTTTGAATGCATGACTTTCACTTTCAACGGTAGGCTACATGTATTACAATATGTTTTTGCTACTTTCACTAAGTTAAACATCTGAGTATTTCTTCGATCACTGATAATGACTGTAGGACATTTTCATGTTTTTATTTATGTCTTATAGCTGCATAATTGCATTGGTACGTCACTTCCTTTACTTTCATCACAGGCCAAAGGGCCGCAGCCCTAATATGCAGAAGTGAGAAACAGTGACAGTTTTAGTGCTGTGACTTTTAATCCACTTTACTAATGTTGCTATTCATACAAGTGCAAAAGTTGTTGAAGTAAATCAGATCTCAGTACGGTCTGAAGTGAAGATCGTGAACTTTCACTCACGGAGCAGCAAAACTTTTTTCGGGGGGCATGAGTGCAAAACACAACCGGGACAAAAATAAAGACTTACCCTTCTCCCCTGCGGCTTTACTCCCCTCTTCATCCCGGCTGACTTGGGTGATTATTGAGGACGGATTGTCCATCACATCCAGGTCTGATCTACAGTGCTGACCTCACACTTTAAAGTTACAGATTGATCGCTGACTCGGTGTGTTAAACCAACTTAACATGTACGGAAAAGAAGCCGAAACACCCCGGGAAACATCGCAAAAAGTATCTTACAGCACGTCCATTACACGTCCGATGTCGGATACACGCTAAAGTTTGAAGTGTGAAACTTAATAAAATATTTGTCAAGGAGATGGCAACTTTGATTCAATATGGTGCTCAACTCCGCTCGCAATTTCAAGATACAAACATGGAGGTTTCAAGGCTTCCCATTTACTTAAAGTGGCGCAGTAATGCAATGGCTGCGGACAACACTCCCACTCCTGCTGTTTGCAAGTTTGCAGATGGTCCCTTAAAGTAGCCCGAAACAAAGTTACTCAAAACTTAGCTAGTTAGCTGAGCTAGCAGGCTAGCCACACATCACTTATAACAGTAAAAGTTACTGCTTGAAAAAAAATATTATGCCCTTTACACTTCTCACGATGGGTACTATTTTTGTAGCCTATGCTCAACTATGCGTCCATGACATTTACATTAGCCTTACGTAATTTACTATTAGGCTACAGATAGCAAAACAAACTAACTTTAGCTAACGGTTCTTTCTGTGATACTACGCAGCACAACACTAATGACGCAGTTTACACCACATTTGCTACTTATCGACTTGCACGTTTATGTATATGTGGGTCTGTACTACTGTAGTTGTTGTGTAATGGCTAATGTAAGTGAAAACTTGCCCAACAGCAAAACTTTTTGTAGAAGTGGTGTTAGCGGCACAGAAACGCCCAGTTTGGGTCCCCTTGAAACTGCCTCTAGTCAGGGAGCGTCGCACAAGTGCCGTCTCTCTGCCTGGTGTACATTTATTTCTCATTCAAAATACGGTAGCAGGGGAATGTCTGGCTGCGTGGGTAGAAATACGCTTTTTTATTATATATTATGTAAGATATCGTTTATTTATTAAATATGTATTTTTATTCCAACATTTCTTCCTTTATTTTACCTTTTATTTTTAGAGTGTGTGATGTGTGACACGTTAAGCTTAATGCTGGGTGTAAGAAGAATACATGCACTTTACAAAGACACCAGATATTTGACATCATAAAGTAGGAAACGCAGAGTCCAAAACTATTCCACAGAAAGAAGCAAGTTCATATTCCCAATTGTATCAATAGTTTATTACATACTATGTCATAAAAACATCTTCAACTTTTCCCACATATAAACACCGCAAATTGGTACATTTACAAATCTTCAACCATCCAAATTCATACAAAAAGGAACACTGTGATAGCGCAATACACAAGACGTTCTATTATTACAAGGACTGCATGTACTGTGTATGTTGTAAAGTCAAATATTGCAGTCAAATGTTTGCTTTGATCAAATAATTCATCAATTGTGTATTAGTACTAATGGAGAAACATTTACACGATAAATATTTTGGATATTAATCCAATTTAGGCACTGACTGGGTGATCACGATTTAAATAACCTGACCAACCACGGGTAATACTGAGGAACACAGCAATTCACCAGTGTATGACTTTTCCAAGTAAAATGTTATCTACATTACAGACTGCTTTTCGTTGTTTCTTAAAATGAGTTTTAACCACAGAACAAGAAATTGTACCAAAAACTCCTAGCTCACCCTAAAAGAGTTCATTTTTACCGTGTGAATCTTAACACCAATCACAAAGACACTCCTTAATACTTTTATTCTTTTGCCTCGATGCTAAGTCAAAAAAGTGAATCAAAAATGCTTGCGCACGCACACACATGCAAATAAATTAACATGAAAAAGTAAACAATTTCAAGAGAAGAAAAACATATTTTTGGATTTGAGTTTTAAAATGTAAATGCAAAAATTAAATAGCAGCTTGGTACATTCACATGAGTTGTTGACTACTAAAAAAGTGACATAAACAAGGTTGTTCCAGGCTGATCTGGAGACCAATGTTCATCTAAACCAAACAGTGTACTTTCAGAATTCACAATGTGACTAAGAAATTGTGCAATCAATGAGAAGAAAGCGAAGAACATCCTGTGTCCTTTTAGTGGATTAACCTTTTCTGAGCAGTTCTGGACTCCACCAATTCATCAAGTCTCATCTCTTTAGCGTTGAATGTTGAATTCTCCTAAAATAACACAAGGACTCCTGTCTTTTCTTTGGATATTTAAGATGTATCCAGCTTTCTGTGCCTTAACCTCAGTCTGACATCTTTCATGTTTCACTGAGGTGTTTTATGACAGATCCTTCTCTCATGTGTGGTGCTTCATTTCCCCCGTCATCTCACTTGGGGCTGGGAACTTGCGGTGAGGTCCCAGGCGCCGGGGATTTGGGGGAGCCCTGGTAGGTGCGCAGCATCACCTTGTGCTTGGTGGCGGCCTCTGAGCGCCGGCTTTGTTGCTCCACCAGGAACTCTTTGAGTCTGCCGGAGGTGAAGGTGAGAGTCTGTCTCCTCAGCTTCATCAGGTAGGAGTCCTGTAGCCAGGCCTGGGTGAAGCAGTCTCGTGTAGTCGAACGCGCCCTGGAAAAACACACACTAAATAGTTTAATTTTCTTTACAACAGGAAGTGTAAAGGACAATTTAGTTGGCACTCACCATGGGTAACTGCTCAACATCTTCTTGAGAAAGGCGGAGGCACTTTGGGACACATTTGGGTACAGTTTTGTGGGGTCAAACTTTGCCAATAGGATTTTGGATTCCACTTGCAGAGGGTCTTTATCTTCGAATGGCAGGTGACCACTAAGCCTGGATGTAAACACAGACAATGGCTTCAGTTTTTCCTCAATTGTAAGGATAATGCATTATCTACCAGCCATCTACTTATATTTCAATATTGTAAACCAATGTCTTATGATTGTAAATTCACATTTCACTTACATGATGTGGGTGACAACTCCAACAGTCCAAATATCTGCAGGGGGACCAACCACTTCCCCTTTTACCATCTCAGGAGCTGGGATCAGATTGATAATATATTAAACTACAAAAATGAAAAGCATCTGTATTTTCAATCAGTCAGTAGAGGTCGTTGTCCTCACCCATGTACTCCAGTGTTCCCGCTCCTGACTCCTGCTGTTTGAGGCTGAGCGGGTTGAAGCCCTGAGCGCTTCCAAAGTCCACGATCTTGATGACGTTGAGGTTGGTCACCAGGATGTTGTCGGACTTTAAGTCCAGGTGGAGGACGCGGCGGTTGTGGAGGTACTCCACTCCCTGGAGGATCTGTACCAGGTAACCCGCCACGTCGTCCTCGGAGTAACGAAACCTGTGGTAGGCAATGAGGAGGATCAAAAATAATCAAATACTCAGATAGGAAAAGTATGCAAAGAATTAGCAACTTCCTCGGATAAATAAATACTAATTAGAGTCAATTAATAAAAGCCACATCTCCCAATTCCTGAGATCGGATGTATTCATATAATTAAAGTGAATACTTTTTTAATTCCCTGGGGAATAACTGAACATAAGCTCTATAAATACCCTCCTACTATTATTAAAATGTGTTCTACTAAAAGAAAAGTACAATTAGCCCTGAATTAAAGTAGTTGGCTCAAGTCACCAAATAGACTGCACTGTAAAATTCTTCAGAGTTACTGTTTTTAAGTTTGTGTTCCTATACCCTTCCTCCTACCTGTCTATGAGGCTGTACAGCAGTTCTTTGCCGGTGCAGTACTCCGCCACCAGCACCAGGTAGCGCGGCGTGACGTAGGCTTCGTGCAGAGCCATGACCTTTCCGTTGTGGAGAGATTTCAGGATCTCGTACTCCTTCAGGATGTCCTGCTTGGTCTCCTGGCTGTAGGAAATAATCTTCGCCATGTAGATTTTACCCGTTGCGTTCTCGCGGCACTCTCGGATCACTCCAAAGCGACCCCTGGTTAAAAAAAAAAAAAACAGTACTATAGTTTGCATGATAAGCAGAGGTGGGGACTCGAGTCACATGACTTGACTCGAGTCAGACTCGAGTCGCATATTTTTTGACTTGAGACTTGCTTGACTAACATTGATAAAAGACTTGACTTGACTTTGACTTGGTATTCATGACTTGAGACTTGACTTAAGCTTGAGACAGATGACTTGAAAGGACTTGACTGTTTAAAATTAAATATTTGCGCTTGTTTTTGTCGTGAGATATTACGTTTAGTTTTTTCGAAAAACGTGATTGGGTGATTATAGCGCCGTGCGCGCAAACCTGGCAACCCAACCCACTAGACGGTAGGAGCGTCAGTTAACATGGCAGCGGCTAGTGTTACTCCAAAAATAGTGAAGTTTGGATTCAAGGATTATGTTGTCGATGACGCTAATAAGAAGAGAACAGCGGTATGCAGGGTCTGCAGCATAAAGATCAGTGCACCGACCACAAATACAATCACACTTCATTCGTCACTACACAAAACACCCACAGAGAAAGGTGCGTGGATGGTGTTGTGTTAGCTAGGAAGCTAACGTGTAAGTTTAAGCTACGTAGACTGGTTTCAAATCGATTTACAGCATTGCAAAGAGAAGACAACACGGTAAATGAACACTAGAAACCTGCCAAGGGATTCATTTGTCCTAACCCTGATACTGACGGGCTGTCAGGAGAGGAGAGAGAGAGAAGAGAGAGGAGAGAGAGAGAAGAGAGAGGAGAGAGAGGGCGAGAGGAGAGAGAGAGAGAGCGAGTGATAGGAGATCAGAAGAGAAGGATAGAGCTAGAGATACGAGAAGATATATAGAGAGAGAGGAGATCGAGACGAGAGCTCGAGATATCGATGTAGAGATCAAGAGATAGAGAGTCTGAGAAGATGAGTAGAGAGAGATCTCTAGATATAAGTAAAAGAGATGCCTCGTTTATTTCCCCTGTGTTATTATCAGAAGTTACTGTAAACTGTTGAATAATGTAGTTCATCTACTTTTAGTAGTTTGTTTAAATGTTTTAATGATGTTGTGTTTGTTTGTAGAAGTGCATCATTCCTTGATTTATTGTAAAATGAATCTGAACTTTTTGATCTGTTATGATGATAAACTGAAGCAATTTCTAAATTAACCCAATTAACTGAGTTTTAAATCGTCCTACTTAGTTTATAAGGAAATTATCAAGAGGAACAAATTAAATGATTTGAAAATGATATCTATGTAGGTGCTGACGCTGTTGGCGGTTCTAGTGTTAACAGACATTTAAATTAAATATGTGTAATGGCAAATGCCATATATGATTTTCTTACCTGGAATTCTGCCTTTTTGAACAGACTTTTTGACTGAGTCCTAGCTATATTGTCTGCAGTTCTAGGGTTAATATTAATCTAATATGATTGTCATCGGTCTAAATTAGATTTCAAATGATTAACTGTGTATGTAATGAAGATCATAGTGTGGGTTAAATCCATTTTCATAACCATTGTCTTTTAACTGATTTAAATGCGTAAACTGGGCTTATTCATCAGAATTTCGTATGACTTGACTTGACTTGCTTGACCTGAGCAATGACTTGACTTGACTTGCTTGATACTTGTAGGTCAAGACTTGAGACTTGCTCATGACTTGCACATGTAGGACTTACTCCCACCTCTGATGATAAGACAAAAACAGTAAATAAATAAAATAAATGTTCCCCCAAAAGGTCAGTGTCGGTCTTACCTGGCTTTCTCATCCAGGAAGGTGTATGGTTTCTGTGGGACCCCTTGCCGTAGAGTTGTGGAGGGCGTAGTGCGTCCTGATGGGGTGCCTCTGGTGTCAGTGCTGGCCCCCTCACTGAAGGGGCTAAGGCTGGAAGCCTGGAGCACTTGTGGGCTA